CAGAGACTCGAGAGAGTCTCAACCACCTGCCCCTCCTTCATGGGCCCTTTTGCCCCTGGACATCAGGGACCCCGGGTGCTCTCGGGTGCCAGCCTCCCCCCGGCAGCCTGCGGACCAGAGCGTGTCACGTGACAGTGTGTGGACAAAGGCTCCTTGTTGACTGTCGTGCGGTTTGCTCTGTCGTTGGCAGGAGAAAGTCAGACTTGACCTGTTGTCTTGTGCAGCAGTAATTTGGATATGTCTCTTAACCAGAGATTGGGATTACGTTCTATTCATTCTCCACAGGACACGCAGCCTGATTTCCCCTGGGTTCTGGCTCCGACCGTCGGCGGAGTGCCCGCTCCTCCTGGGCGGGTGCTCTCGGGTGGCAGTCCGTTCACTGCCCGGGCGAGGGCCCGCGGGCCGCCTGCGGGAGGTGCCCAGACCCTGCGTTTGCGCCTCGGTCGTGGTCGGGTTCGCGGGCTCTGGCCGCGGCCTCTCCCCTCCTTTCCACAGGGCAGCCCGGAGCCCAGGCCCCTGGACCCCCAAGCCTGCTGACGCCAGCGTGCCAGGTGTCCCCAAGGCGCGGGGCCCTCGCGACGGCCTCCCGCCTCCGCGGTGCAGACGCCCTGTGCAGCCGCTGGGCAGTGGGGTCCGCGGGCCCTGCCTCACGTCGCCTCCTGTCCCGTCACTGTGTGCTCAGTCCTGCCATCTCCCAGGGCTCAGCTCGAGCGCCACGTGCCCTCTGCTCGCGTCCTGTGCGCCCACCTGAGCGGTCCCTGCCACACTGCGCACCCCCGGTCGGCTGGTCTTTACAGACGTGGCCTGGGAGCCCCATCTCCCTGTAAGTAAACCCGGCCCACAAGTGTGGTAGGTGAGCAGCTCCCGCGCCCCCCTCGTGGAGGCGGGGCGGCCGTGGGTGGAGGCCCAGGCTCACACTCGCGCGGCCTCCTGGGCCTTTGCGTTGTCCCCGCCCCGCGTTTTTCTGCATGTAAGGGACTCAGTTCGTGTTGATAGAGTCAGTCAGTGTTGCAATAAACAGCATTTCTAATAACAAAAACTCCTACTCACAGTCTTGTCAAAAACGCGAAGACCCAGCCAACCAGAAGAATGTGGCAAGGCCGGGATTTTTTTTTTTTTGCAAAAATGACATTGCGAGAACGAGGGTCCCCCCATGCAGACGTGCCCTCCGCTCAGCGGCCAGAGCCGCTTCCCGCGGGGACTCGGGCGCCCGCAGCCCAAGCAGGCGCGGCGCTCTTCCCGCGGCTCTGCCGTCGGCTCGCGCTGCGTTTCGCCGCATGCCGGGGCTTACGCGCCCGCCCCCCCCCCCCCCCCGAGCTGGGGGAGGCGGGTTAGCCCGCGGAGGGACGCCGCTCGCCTTCAGGAGGAGAGCGCTGGGCGCGGGGGAGGCTCAGGAGCCCGGGAGGAGGGTCATGGCGGGGTTGGCGCACGTGAGCGACGGAGCCCCAGGGCTGCAGTGGCTCCCTTCCTGCGCCCCCCACGCGCCCCGCCTTGTGCCCCGGCTCCCCAGCCAGTGCGGCTTCCCCCGCAGGGTCGCACTGAGTCTGTGTCGGGACCAGCGTCCCCGGAGCCCCCGTCGCCCCCGCACCGCTTACGCGGCAGCGTCCCTGTCCCGGTTGCCTGGCCGCCCTGCCGGGTCGCTGCCGGGGGCTCAGCCGAGCGTCGTGCCAAGAGCCGGCCAGCACCCCGCTCACGACCCGCTGTGCCTCCAGCCGGCCGCCTGGTGGGGGGCAGAAGGGCCCGCGGGGCAAGCCCCCTCGGGAGACGGGAGCCCGGCTGGGGTTGCCGTGGTGACAGGCTCCTCCGCCCGTCATGGAGAAGGGTGGGAGCCCTGTCTCGTGACTGAGGGATTGTTGTTTTCACCCCTGAAGCGATACTTTTCTAGACTGGTGTCAGCCCGGGCGTGCCAGCGAGGGGCAGCTCGTCCCTCCTCTCCTGCTGTCCTGCCTCGAGGCGGCCGTGAAGCCTGTGCAGGGAGCTCGGGCTCCGTTCTCAGGGGCACCTGTGTGTGGCCTGGCTGATCCCTTCCCGGCCCAGGGGCCCCCTGCAGGCCCCTGTCCTCCGGACGGGGAGCTCGCTCAGTGGCGTTCCGATGAAATGGGCCCCAGCCTGGGAGGGTGCGCCGTGGGACGGGGAAGCTGCGCTCTGCCCCTCCGTGCTGCCTGCCCGCCCACCCACCTGTCCATCCACCCACCCATCCACTCATCTACTCACCCATCCACCCACCTACATGTTCCCCCTCCCCACCCGCCCATATCCCTCCCTCACCCATCCCCCCACCGGCCCCCAGTAACGGTGCCCCGGCTGTAACCCAGGGAGGCAGCCCAGGATCGCACCTGCCCTGTCCACGTGTGCCTGTGGTCGGTGGAGAAGGGGGGGGGGGGATGCCGCGAAACCTCTGAGGAAACCGGTGGGTTTAAATGCCATCGCTTATAATAACGTGTAAATAACGTAACGTTCAGCGGAATGTCACCTTGGAGCGTCCACCGGGCCCTTCGGGGGAGGGTGCGTGCGGCCCACCCGCCGTCACGGCCCGCTGCCTGCGGACGGCGGGCGCAGCGTCCCTGGGGCTTGGGTGGGAGGGCGCTAGTCCCGGGCCCCAAGGCTGGGGGCGGCCTGTGAGGGCCCCCGCACAGCGGTACTTGGGCCCCCCCGGTTTACGGACGGCCGCCTGCCCGTTCTCTCGTGTCCTGTGAACTTTTCCTTGTCCCTTTGAACCCCAGGGTTGCCTGGGGGTCCTCAGCTTTCATGGTTTCCCATCACTTGTGGTCTTAGCCAACCGGCTGCTGTCCTGTGGGGCAGCCGCCCTGGCCTCTCCCCCGCCCCTCGGTGTGTGGCTCGTGCCTGGGAAGCCGCGCCCCGTCCCGTGGAGGCTGCACAGCCGCCCGCCTCCAGCGCCAGACTCCTTGGGCCTGCTGGTCACGCGGCTTCCCCAGGGCTCCCTGTCCGGGGGTCCTCCCCAGGTCCCCGCCCGGCTGCATGGCCCGTACGGGGGCAGTGCGTACCTTTGGGGTCAGAGGGTCTTGAGGTCAGATGAGTCCTGGCTGCTGGCCTTTTTGGGGCTGTGACCTGAGGACTCCTTCCCACCCCACAGTGTGAGTCTCCTGGGTCTGTGTGGCGGGTGGTGTGGCGGGAGGTTTAGCGGATGGGCATCTAACTGGTGGCACCTGTGCTGAACCTGCTGGTTTTGCTGGTGGCTTGCCGGGCCGTGCCCCAGGGTGGGGGTGGCCCCCGCCAGCCAGGATGTTTTCTGCCCGTGGGGCCTGTCCCTCAGCTCTGTCTCTGGCCACAGCCCGGGGCTTCCGGAGTGTCCATGCGGTCCCCTGTCGGCAGACACTCCCCCGGCAGGACGGGCGTCTCTCCTTGTGATGCAGGCCGTTCCGAGTCAGCTTTTCCAAGACACACGGGGGCGGGGCTCTCTGAGTTAAATACCATCACTTCATTTCAGTGAAGAGTAACAAATGGCCCTTCGTGAGAAATGACGCTTCCCATAGGCCACCCACACTTCCTTGGGTACAATAACAAGCCAGCTAAACGCATACACAAATCCCTGAGGCTTTCGGCTGCCTGACTGGTGGCCCAGCTGCTCTCTGCACGAGGGAGCTCGCCTCCTAGTGCGACTGTGTTTCCCTGTTTGCCTTTTACGTTGGCAAGGGAGGGTCTTAGAGCTTTGAAGGCCCTTGGAAGGGAGCATGTGGGTGGGAAAGGCCTCAGAGCCGTCTGCCACTGCCGCTGCCGCGGCCGCGGTGCCCTGGGACTGAGAGTCTGACCCGAGCCGCTTTCCGTGGGCGGGCGTGGGGTCGATTCCGCAGCGCCTGCCTTCCTGCGGGGCCCCGGAAGGAGGCCGCCTGTGCTGTGTCTGGGAACCGGCGCGTGCCCGGGGAAGGCCTCGTGGCGGGTGGGATGCGCCCAGGCGCTCCTGGGGGCCTGAGTCCAGCCTGCAGTCCAGGGGGTCGGCCGTCCCGCAGAGGCGGCGCCCTCGGCCTCTGGGCAGGGCCCGGCCCGGAGCAGGGCCTGGGCCTGAGGAGTCGCCCCGCCCCCACCTTCGTATCCAGTGACTCTCTGACACCCTAACAAACACTTACGTTTTCAACTTTAAATCTGTTTTCCTTGCAAAGATGCATAGTAAATAAAATGAAAGTAAATAAAATTTTAGAAACAGGGTACATGAGTTTTTAGACACTTAGGAATATTATGCTGGGTGGCAGCAGTTTTTGTAAGGATCTAAAGTTCCTTCAAATGTCTGATAAGCCATTTCAATTAGGCATCTGTTTTGCACTTTGAGGCTTGTAAGTTGCGCTTCCTCATTAGGGTTTTCCACTCAAGGAGGGATGACGGCGGACTCGCTGCCCGCTCCTCCTTGCAAACGTTTGCGCTGCTGCTGGCCCGCGCGGGAGGCTCTGCCTGCCGCATCTTTGGAGCCTCTGACATTGGAAATAGGCTGTCGGAGGAGGTATTACCAAACGCATATGTGCATCTCTTAGAAACAGAGTTTTTAAAATGTTACGGAAAACTTTCAGATATCTTTTAGGAATAAATAATATATTTAGGTTCTCTCTTATTAGGATGTGAAATGCCTGAGAAGCAATCACAATGTATTAATGACCTTAATGAATTGGAGAGGATTGAGAATATTAATTACCTGCCTCTGATTAGGTATTAAAATTGAGAGCCATTAAGTGATGAGGGGGAAGAGACACAAGTCACCTCCCTGGCGGGGCTGTCTACCCTTTGGGCCTCTCTGGGCTGCGGCAGCGGAAGAAGGGCTGTCTCGGGATGCGCATTAAATGCACTGCGACATGCGGTCGCACACACAGAAACTCCGGGTTTTAAGTCCAGCTATGATGCTGCGTTGGGCCGCAGGTGGACGCCCTGGCCCGAGCAGCAGAAACGGGGCCTGCAGAGGCGACGGCTGAGCACAGACCCGCGCCCGGCCCGCCACGTCGGTGCCCTGTCCTCGTGCCCTGGGGTAACGCTCGGTGTCTTTCCCTACTCCGCAGAGGAGGAGGACGTGGACGTCGCCGACGTGTCCCGCGTGCCCACGGACGTGCTGCGCAACGTGGAGGCCGACACCTACTGGTGCATGAGCCGGCTGCTGGACGGCATCCAGGTGAGCGCCCCGCCCTGCCCCGCCCCCGCCGACGCGGGCGCCCCGTCTCTGCGTGGCCCCTGCCGCCGGGCAGTGCGCGCTCCTCGGGATGGGGCCCCCACGGTTGGGGCTCAGCCCAGCAGGGCCTGGTCCCTGCTCTCCCTCCCGGCTCTGCTCCCGGGGCTCCGTGGGGGCGGGCGGGCGGCAGCCACGGTGTGCGGCAGCTGCAGTCGTGGGGTCTGCGCCTCCGAAGGCGTCAGATCTGCGGCCTTGGTGTCTGTCTCGTGTGGCGGGGCCTGTAACCAGGGCCCCACTGCCCTGCAGCTCGCGGTCAGGAGTTGGGGGGGCCTGCTCCCCACCGCTGGGGCTCCGCCGGGTTGGATGTCAACAGGGGCCAGTGGCCGGGATCTCTGCAAAAAAGCCACGGGTCTCCCAGTGCCAGGGTGACTTCGTGGAAGCCATTTGGGGGACAGACCCTCCCCACGTGGCGGGGAGGGGTGCTGCAGGCGAGTGAAGCGCGGCCCGAGGGCGGCAGCCTTTGGACGGCCCTCCGGCGGGGTGGGCCGTGGGAGGCCCCCTTCCTGGGCGCCCGCTCTTGCCGGGGGTCGCCTGCTCCTGCTGGGCGCCCTGCTTGGCACTTGGGGGAGGAGAGGGGAGCGAGGTGAGAGGCCTCCACGGGCGCTCCTGGGACAGGGGCAGACACGTGAGGGCGTCCTGATGAGGCGCGAGCTGCGTGCTCGTCAGGGCCTGGATGGGGGATGATACCGTGAGCCCTGGAGGGGCCGTTCGTTCTGCCGGCGGCGCAGGCTTTGGCCCGTGGGGGTCCTGCGGGCTCGTTCGCTCTGGCCCCCCAGATGCGGGTGGTGCAGTGCAAGGGCGGCCGGCGCAGGGAGCGGCCGTGCGGGTTGCGTTCTCCCAGGGCCTTCGTCCCGGTCGGAGAGGGGCGTGCCCACTGCGGAGAGGAGGTGTGGCCGCCCTCCTCGTGGGCCTTTCTCACCAGGGTCCGGCCCCTCCCGAGCCTTGGACACAGGGGGCGCTCCTGAGGCCGCCGAAGGGAGAGGCCAGGCTCAGCTGCCTGGTTCGAGGTTGAACACGAGTTGCTCAGCGGGAGGCCTGCGGCAGGGGGTGGTGTGGGCGCCCTGTGCCCCGGGTGACGGCCGGGCTGCTGGCCGCAGGGGACCGGGAGCCCGTGTCTGTCTGACGGCCGGCGCGCCTGCCTCTGGCTGCCTCCGCGTCTCGTGAAGGAGGACGGGCCCGCCACTGACCGATTTTGGCCTGCACAGCAATTGATCATTTTCCTGCTTTGTATTTTCATAATTTTTAGTATTTCTCCCAAAACTTGAGAGTTTCCCCCACTTAGAAAAGGGATTTAATTATAACTTGGAACATTACAAATTTTACTGGTCGCTCTCTGATGACGAGTGATGGAAGTTCCGCTGTTTCCTGACGAGATCACCCAGCGTCCACTTGCAGCTACAGTCGATCGGCCGCACGGCGAGGTTGACGGCGGCTTTTCCGTCTTCACTGAGCTCTGCTGTCTGCAGGAGGCCTCGTGACAAGGGGGGCGCGTGGAGGGCACGGTGCTTTCCCGGTGCACGCGTTACATGTTCACCGTGCGCAGCAGCCAGGGCCGCCCCCGTCTTTGCCCCCCCGCCCCGTACGGTCGGTGGACGTGAGCAGGATTCAGGGTGCAGAGACCCCTCAGGGGACGGGCCCCAGGGACACCAGCACTGCGGCGCTCGAGTCTGGGCGATGGGAGGCTCGAGCTGGTTTCAGATCCGGACGGACGGGGAGCAGGGTGCCAGCCTCTCAGGGCCCGGCCCGCGGCGCAGCGCACGCCCCTGCGCCCCTGCTCCTGGCCCCGCCCCGCCCTTGCCTTTCTTCTTCGAGCCGGAACGTTTCATCGCATCGCTGCCCTGCCGGAACCATTGGGGAAACTCCTGCTGGTTTTGTGAGTGCAGCTGGCTCGCCTGGCCGTGGCCGTGGCCGTGGGTCCCGAGGCCTTGAGCCCGGTCTGCCGTCCGCCGTGCTCAGGGTGCACCTCTGCCCGCAGGGCTCCAGCAGTGAGCGCCGCGGGCCGGCCGGCAGCCTGGGGTCCTCCTCGCGGTGGGGAGGCAGGGCGGCTTCCGAGGGTGGCCCCGCCTCGGCACAGGACGGGCGGCTCTGGCCCCCTGCCCGGAGGGGACCCGCTTGCCGGCTGGGGCGGCCCGTGCGGGACCCGCATGTGAACTCGGGAGCGTGGGGCTCCCTGCCCTGCCCTTCCTTCTCCTGCCAAAAGAAGTGGGAGTGATTCCTCCATTTGCCAGCAAAGCCCCGGAGGGGAGACCGCCCCGCTCACCTCGCTTGCCCGGGAGCATCCGGTGGGAGTGGCTGTGCTTTGGGGCTCCCCCTGGGGCCTGGCTGGGAGCCTCTGCTTCTGCCCTGGGCCGCAGCGTGGTCAGTGCCCACCATCTCCAGCTGCCGGGTGCCGGTCACGGGCCTCGGGGCACGGGCGTCACCATCCGCTGCTGTCCCTGAGCAGTGGTGGCCTGGTGGCTGGGGGAGGGCAGGCTGCGCCTGGGAGGGGCTGCGGGGAAGAGGGACTGCAGCCCCTCCAGCAGAGGCTGGGCATGCGGGACATTTTGGACAGTGGTCAGCGGGCACAGGGGAGTCCTGCAGAGGGGCGCCAGTCCTCCAGGGTGCGCGGAGCTGCCGCCGCCGGCCGCCGGGCTTGCCTGCGCGGCGTGGTCAGGTGGCCGCCGCGGAGCCCGGGGTTCCTGCCCGGGGCCAGGTGCGGAGGAGGCCTGGCCCCAGCCCTGCCCTGTGGCCCGGGTCGTCCGGGAGGAAGCCTGAGGGGGCCCCGCCTCCGTCCCTCTGTGCAGCCTCGGGCCCCCCCCCACACCGAGCCCTCAGAGTGCTGGCTCACCTGGGCTCCTCCCATCAGTGCGCTCGCGTTAGAACTGCAGCCAAGATCGTTCACACGTCCTTAGTGACTAAAAACAGTAGCCACGATAAAGTTGCGTGTTATTGTAAGGAACATTTTGTGATTCAGAAATACTTCCTAAAACAAAAGTGTTTAGTGAGAAGAAAGGCATCGCGTTGCCCGTTGCAGAGCTCTCACTGCCTAAGCGCAAGGGCGGCGCCTGGGCCCTCACGGCCCCTCGCGGCCCCTCACGGCCCCTCACGGCCCCGCATGGCGCAGTGCAGGGGAGCGCAGCGGGGCCGTTGGAGCGGGCGCATTCTGACCGCCCCTGGGACACCCGGGGCGCCCTGCTTCCTTTTTCAGACGCGTACCATGCAGACGAACAAATGGTAGTATCTTAAAGACCCGTTGCAACGTGAAATCCTAACCCGTGTCGACGAACGTTTGCACTCGGTGACAGCACGGCCGCGGCCTCTCTGGGTCCGTCGCCCACGTTTGGTTCTGTGACGTCGCCCGTTGGTCGTGTGCGAGAGCCTCGCTCATGAGCTGCACACACCTCCTACAAGTGGGCACGCACCAGCACACAGCGTCTGAAACCCCCGGCCCCTGCGGCCCCCACCTCCTGGGAAGAGGCCACCTGGCCCCCAGGGGCAGATGAAGTTCTCCAAAGCGCAGATTTCGGCTTCGAAGCTCAAATGTTTGTAGCAGATACTGTCAGTTATTTTCCTCGAAGTGACAGGCTAACTTTGTTGTTTTTGAGAACATGTCTGCAGATACCCGAGTGTGATGAACAAGTTTGCATCTTACTGCTTCTTTTGAGTCCAAATGAGGTTTCTTGAAAAATGCATCTAATTCAGCTCACAGCTCAGACAATTGCAGCAAAGAGCTTTGCTTGAAGAAATCACGTTTCTTGGTTACACGTCTCAAGTGTTTTGTATATTCTTCCCATTTTGCCACTCAGAATATTGAAAAGATGTTTGTTGAAGGGTCGAGATTTAACACACTATTAATTATCAAGAACTTTCCCTGCATCATCAAGTGAGATTGCACCCCGCCCCGCCCAGCACGGTGAGTGGCCCTGCCTGGGTCCAGGCCGGAGTGCCAGCTCTGTTGTCCCCGCCCCTTCTGTGCTGAGTGCTGGTGTCAGTCTGGGGGCAAAGGTCCCTGACGTCTTGGCGTGGTTATGAAAGCCGCTTTGGTGTCGCAGGCCGTGTGCAAGGGTCTCGGGGACTCGGTGGCTGGCTGACAGCGTGGGGGACTGCTGCCCTCGAGGGAAGCTCCCGTGCACGGGCCTGTGGATTTCCCACGGCAAAGCCCCAAGAGACGAGCTGGCCGTAGGAAAAGCACAGAACCGATGGCGATGCCCCGGCGGCTGCACAGGCGGGGGCGTTGTACTGAGGTCCCCGAACTGACGTGGAGGAACCGGAGCGTGTGCGGGTGTCAGACGCTCCGGGGTGAGGGAGGATGGGGGGTGGGGTGTGAGACTCTGCGAAGAGCCTGCAGGTCTTACGGAGGAGCCACTCAGAACCCCTAGCAACCAGTTGATCACCGGTGACCTTCACATTCATTAGAGACAGCAGAAGGGAGGATGCGTTAAAGCAGGACAAGGAAGGAGCCGAGTGGGCAGCACAGAGACATGATTCCAAGTGAAAGGGAGGCCAGGACACGAGAGAAGGAAAACCAGGCCCGGAAGGAGGAAACGCGCCGCGGAAAGGCAGCGTGGGCAGCGGTGGCGGCGGCGTCTTCCGCGCTGGCAGAGGGCGCCGTTCGGGCCTGTCCGTCAGCAGCGCGTGTCCCCTGACAGGAGACGGGGGAGGACCTCACGGGACAGGCGTGGGGCCTTCCAATGAAGCCTCGAGATGGGCGATTGCGTGGGGGGCCGGCTGCACTGTGGGCAGCCCTTGCGCTGGTCTGGGAAAGTAACTGTCAGGCCAGGGTGCACTCAGGAGCAGATCCAAGGACGCACTGCTTGTCAGAGTCTCGCCTCAAGCCCAGGATCGCGGGAGGGTCCGGAGGAAAGGGCTGGGGGGAACGCGACGGGGGAGCAGGGGCCCGAGGGAAGGCTGCGCCGCGGGGTTGCTCTGACACGGCTGGTAGAGGGAGCAGGCCTGGAGGCGGG